TATATTTATTGCATGCAAGTTCTGTGTTAGCTCGAGTGCCTTAGATATGACGAAGATCATTTCTTTCTATATCCTTACATATTATACCCTTTGCATACCCAATTTGAGTGATTAACTCATTTCAACCCGATTGATGATCATCCTTGTGATAAACAAATGAAATCATCTCAAAGTAAGTTCAAGGCAAATGGGAGCTCGAAAGAAAATTCATCAGAAAGGACGCAAAAGGACTCCATTAAATCGAAGTTCTCTCTCTTGGAAAAATCTCTCGAAAGGAAAATCTCTCTCTCAAAAAAAAAAAAGAGAGAGAAAGAAAGACTTCAGCAAGAACTGAGTCGATATGCAAAATCATTCTTCAAGGAAAAGACCATTTGAAGGTTTATTTGTGGAGCAATTGCCATAGATAGATCAATGGTACCAGTAGCGTGATTGGATGATCACCAATCTCCATGTTCATAATACCCCCCTTTTGATAAAATAAGCCATTCATTTCAAGCCTACCCGAACCTACGTTACAACCCTTTACCGAAGTCTCTTCAGAATAGGGCACTTGAGTTAACGTAGAGTTTCAAATGCTTATAAATGTTGCTCGAAGAAGTGCGAGCAAGATTTTTCTATCTCATTTTTGTAGCATTCCTGACTTGTAAATCCGGAGCAGCTGGTGATATCGATTCTTTCAATAGCCTCGACTCGAAGAGTCCTTTTTGCTAAGCCATTGACCAAACCCACGTTTTAGTCCTTATAAAGACCTCTCAGATTGGTCAAGTCATACTGATTTTGAGAATATCCGAACCCTTGTCAAGCACGATGAAGAGAGTTTGAGTGATTCTTATACCCGCATCAAAGGTCGGGTCAAAAGCCTTTCATTGAGAGTGAGTAGAAAGTCCTTTCTGATTAAAGGTCTCTCATTTAATGTGATCAAATTGTCAAAAGGACGAAATGGTTGTTCTTATTGATAAATTCCCCAGTGAAGCTTGGTAATGCAAGCATATTCATGAATTATGTTTTCTCTGCCCCTGCGCATGTGTTGTTTTAACCTTTTCTCAGGAAAAAACAGGTGCAATGCAATTGGCTTTGCCATTTTTATAACACAAGAAGAAATCAGATACATCTACTAATTATTCTTCATTGTTTCCCAGAATGTGAGACATGACCTCTTTCATATGTTCGCCAAGTGGAACAGGTGACATATCATTTGGTATTGCCAAGTGGAGTACACGGCACACCCCATTTTATGTTCGCTCAGTAGGATAAGCGGCATAGTTTCTCATTTGGTGTTGCCAAGTGGAGTACGCGGCACACCCCATTTTATGTTCGCCCAGTAGGACAGGCAGCATAATATCTCATTTGGTGTTGCTAAGTGGAGTACGCGGCACACCCCATTTCATGTTTGCCCAATAGTACAGGCATCATAATTTCTCATTTGGTGTTGCTAAGTGGAGTACGCGGCACACCCCATTTCATGTTCATCCAATGGAAGAGGTGACATGATCCTTTTAGTGATTGCCCAGTGGTATGGGTAACACATCCCATTCTTTCTTTATATCATGCGCTATTTCGCATCCGTAGGAAACTACAGGTAAGAGATAGGCAATTCAGTACCTCGAGAACCTTACTTCCAGTGGACCAGAAGTTTGGAGATCGAGGGAAGTCAAAGCATTATAAAGCTTTCCCTCGCTTGGACGCTTTTTGTGCGATCCGTATGTAAGGCTCTTTCACCGCTCTACACGAAGTGAGAAGCCTTAGCATACGTTCTTTATTGTTTGCATATCATGCATCATTGCATAAAAAAAAAATTCATCATTTTGCATAGTTTAAATTTAGGACTCAGTCTTTGAGCGAAACCTCTGCGAGCCTCCACTCAAAGAGGGGCAGCTGTTGACACATAAATTTCGGCGCATCATTTAGTAGTTAATTGCATAGAAAATTAAGGGATTAAATTTTAACCCCTGAACAAAAATATTACAAATCGCATAGCATAAAGTTTAGGTTCATATAAATTAACTGCATTTCGCATCGGATCGGCGGTGGTAAGCGAGCTTAAAATTCATCATGTAAATCGAGCTCGGGCACCGAACGAGACTCGGCTCACTCGGAAAGCATGGGCCGAAAATCACACGCAAAAAGGCTTGGTTGTCTTAATTTGAGCTTAAATTAGCCCATTATGCTTAATTAAAAAAAAAGCCCAAATTAATTCAGCCCACTTAGAATTAAATTAAAGCTTAAACCTAAGCCCATTAGGACTAGAAAGCCTGGCTAATTGACCTAGGTTTACACTATAAATATATGTTTATGTCTCATAATCGGGAGGGGGGTTCTCATAATTTTTCAGATCGGATTTTTAGGGAGACATACGAGAGAATTTTGAGAAAAGTGAGAGAGAGAGAAGGAGACCGCCCGCCGCGCCGCACCACCGCCGCGCTGCGCCACAGCCCGCCGCACCACGCCGGAGCTGCTGCGCCCCTCAGCCATTGCACGCCTGCGCGCGCCACCGCCTGCCGGCGAAGCCTCCGTCCTTTCCCGCCGCGCGCTACTGCCCCCGCCGCATGCCACCGCCGCGCGCCCGCTGCCTCCTGCCGCGCGCTGCCGTCTCCCGCCGTGTGCCACTGCCGCTGCACGCCTGCCTGCCGCTGCCTCGTCGCACACCATCGCCGCGCCGGTGCTACCGCCGCCTGGACGTCCCTACTCCGCCCGCCTGTGTCGCCATTGCTCGCTGCACAGCCGCCGGAGAGCTGCCCTACACCATCGCTCGCCAGCGAGAGCTGCCCTGCACCGCCGTTCACCAGCCGGAGCCGCCTGCACCGCCGTTAACCCACCGCCTGTGCCGCCGCTATTTGCTGCACAGCCGCCGGAAAGCCGCCTATCCCCGCCTGTTGGCCGCTGCACGGAGACGCCCGCCGCGCCGCCGTTTCCGTCGTGTCACCGTCGCTAGCCGCCACTGTTCCCGACGTCGCTCCGCCGCTCCCGACGCACCGCCGATCCGCAATCCCGATCCGCTGCGGATTCAAATTAAGAAAGAAATCTGCAAATCAGGTAATTATCATATCCCGATTTGATTCGAATATTTGGTTGTCTAATTTGTGCTTATTGGTATCTAATTTTGCATATTTGGATAATAAGCATTATTCCAATTAGGATTTTATTTCTTTTTTTTGAAATCTTGGATATCTATTACTTTTCAAATTTGGATAGAATTTAGAATTTTCAAAATCTTTTGAATATATCCAAGATATTTAAGATATCTAAATTTTTTCAAGATGTGATCGATTAGGAAAATTTCCTAATCCGCAACCGCACACGTGGAAATAAATCTATCTATCAGGCTTTAGATAGAGTTATTTCCATAGCGGGTATTTCGAATTTTAGGATCGATCTGTCAGGCTTCAGATCGAAACTTAATTCGAAAGATTTAGCGGTTATATTTTTTTTTTACTGGATTTTAATTTCGAATTTCGATAAAAAAATACCAAAAATATTACTCTAGAATAGGTTAATTTCTTTAGTTTGAAATTGCATGTTTAGATAATTGGCATTTTTAATTCCGAATTTCATAAAAAAAATACAAAAAAAATAATATGCCCGTCATTAGAAATAGGTCACGTCGTCGCATGACATATAGTTTGCATGTTAGGTTGCATTAATCGCATGTCAATTTTTGCACGTCATTACATATAGGTTAGCTTTCATTTAAATAAGTAAAAAAAAAAAAAAAAGTAAATTTCTGCACCTTTGAACTCTAAGTCAGGATTTATCAAAATTGTCAAATTGAGTATTTTTCTTGAAATTGGTACTGAAAGGGCGTTAGGGAATCTAGCGTAACCAAGTCCCCGAATCTATAATTTCTGGTTCGCAGAAATAAAATAGTACTCCCGCTATTTTATTTAGGTTTCTAATCAATCTACCTGAAATGATTAGTGGCGACTCCTATTGAAAATATTCACATTTCATGATTGGACTTAAGTTGCGATTTGGTAGAGTTTGGGAGAACTCGAGCTAAGTTAGTTAATTTAATTGATCTAGTAATCCATTAACCTAAAATCAAAAACCCGATTTTTTTTAGGTCGTGACAATGCCAAACAAAAGGTCAAAGTGAATAAGGTCTCTTTTCTACTGCCAGCGTGATCTATACACCAGTAAACTTGGACAAGGCAGATTTAATAAGCTTAGCTGGGGCTAATGACTGGTATTATAAACTACCTATGAAAAGAGTAGCTTGGGAATATGCAATTTTAGACAAGCATAACAACAAAGTCCCCCAACCAAAAAATAAGGAAAACATACTCAGGTGGCGAATCAGGTTTTGACGATGTTTTGCAATGATAACTCCCGTGTTATATGTGAAAACCTGGCCAGAATGAAAGCCTGAATGCATAAGGTTTCAAATTCTTGCTGTTGCCAGAATGCAGGAGGAAATTGCAAAAAGAGAGATGTTGCAAACTTATGTGAGTTATTTCAGCACAGGAGAAGATTTTGGAACCAAATTTTAAAGGTAACAACAATGTGGTATTGCTTAATTTAATCTAAGTAACGAACGTGAAACTTACTGAGTCCAGCAATATGTTTGAGGGCTTAAAATCTCTGCACATTATTTGCCTGCCTAACTAGTGCAAGAACGTGAGGCCTTTGGCTGCTCCTATTGCAATTTTAATCCGTGTGACCCATGGAAGTGGTTTAATGGCCGACGCCCTTTGCAGCAGGAAAGAAACATGATTTGTGTAGTACATTGAAACAGGAAAATATCATATTTACCATAAATTTAAGGCAACCATGTATATATCGCCCAAGAAAGAACCTTACTTCCAAAGAGATGGTTCTTTAGGCCTTTGGCTTGAACTCATGGACAAGTAGTTCTTTATCCTCCAAACAGTATCCCATTAGCCTGACAATGTTTGGACGAGATAAGCTGCCCAGGAAGTTCACCACTGACTGCAAAAAGTTATCACTCTCTAATCAAAATAGGGTAAAACCTCATAATTTCACATTTTTTAAGTAGACGAAGCAAACAGGCATCTTCCGCAGAAAAAGAGAGGAGACAGAGCGACTAATTTGTGTGATAAGAAATTAAAGAAACCCAGAATGGCACCCTCAGAGCCGTCTACCGTGGACTCACCCTACAAATTTTAGATGGTAACAAATAATCTGAAATAAAAACTGGGATGAAATATTCAATGATGCATCATCAACCATGTTCAATAGTAAATCCTGACATGTGAACCACATAGTTGAATTTCGTATGCCTTACTGTAAGTACACAACCTCATATTCATGTAAACCAAGGAGTAAGCCAATCTTAAGTGCTCAATCTATTTATAAAGCAAGTAAACATCCCTCGCATGATTTTGACATCGGCAAAGCCAATTGAGGATAAGATTGATGACTGTATGGGTGACCATGTAGAGTCTAAAACACAGAATCATACAAGCTCTGATATGCAACATCAGAATAGAATGCACTCATCTTGTGTAGTACAAAATATATGTCCACCTTCCAAGAGAGACAATAGCATCTTGAGTGAAGATCAATTTTGAAAAATTCATATGCTAAATGGACTTATGTGGAGGCTAAGTCCTTCCCTCCTCATCTTTTCCCTTTTAAAAGACTTGCATGCTATTAACATTTTGACCTCCATTCACCAGGTGATTCATGAAAAAGAAGATGGCATAATCTTATTCATTCTTCCAAGGATACTTGAAGAAGAATAGTTATGTCCAGTGTCTCCTAAAGTACCATAAGTTTGGACTCAAACAATTATGTCACCTCACTTTCAAGGCCGGCCAGCATATTTTTCCACAAATAAAATATCCTCACTAAGGATGGTTTAAGTTCCTAGAACAATGTGGAGAAATTCCAGAAGTGGCTATAATGTCGTAAAACTCATATTGGGATTTAATGTTTCAGGTACATTGTAGTGACATCCTCTGAGTTTAGCTTAAAAGGCAAGGATATAAGTCACAATAGTTTCTGATGCAGGACCTAAATTCCTTCTGTAAAATGCAAGAAGACTCCCTGCATTTCAAAATTTGCAAGCTATTACAAGACTTTTACCATAATATTTATAAACAATGAAGATTCGTAAGACATTTCTACTCCACCTCTCAAGAACCTTAGAGATAGAAGCTAAGCTGGCAAAGCTTCTCTCATCCTACTTGTTTCCTCCACTACCATGCTGTTTGGCTGCTGGAAAACAAACACGCATGTAATATGCACTACACAACTTAGACATAACAACTGTAGGACAGGATTGTGGAATCTCAAGATTTAGATCAAGAACACAGGTGTTCACTTGAGGCATCTATAGATCAAATGATCGTATAATTTACAGCAGCTTGCCTTCTCATCCACACACCCCGAGATGGCCACTCAAATGTGCTTTCCAAAACAGATATGCCTTAACCATTTGTGTCTCACCACTTTACATCCTGACAACCTGTTCAGCAAATTGGTGAAAACAGCTCTTCTCGAAATTTTTTGACTACTTAAATCTCCAACGGTACATGCGTACGGAATCTTACATGAGCCATGTATTTCACCCAGCACTTTGCCTGCTGTTTTGATTTTGAATAGAGATAAAATAAACACCGGAAAATTAATGACGCCAGGCGTAGGATAGGCAAATTTTTACTCTTCTATTGCATGTCTGGAAAATACTTACACTAACCCAGAAGTCCTTGAAAACAGAATCTGACAAGATTTTTCAATGTTTTTATGTGGACTTGAAACCATACAACGGAAAAGCAAGCTGACTTTTCTCCAAGCTCTTGCATAGAATTGCTCTTGGTCATAGGACAAGTCACGGACCCTACAATAAAGGACAAAGGGAGCAAGCACTGTCTTTTCTAAATAATTGCAATCCTAACAGAATAATCTGGTCCTCATCATTGATCACACCCCCAGAAATATGTGTTCAGTAGGGCAACGACATATATTCTCGAAAGGAAGAAAGCAAATTGAGATAGTGAGCTTCATATGAAATTAGCCACACAAAACCAGAACAATCTAGCAACAAAAAATGCCACTAACATCTATCATCTCGTTCTCATTTTTCTACAACAAACTATGTATCTGGACACGATTCTTCCCCCACCATCAGAATAGAGCTTCTTGCTAAAAACGCAATAGTGATCAACATTAAATACTGCAAAGCACATGCAACCCGAGCTTTCCTGAGAGGAACTAAGATTACCTTCCACTCTTTGAATCCTTGCATGCTCTCTGGGTTCAATTTTTGGATGGCAATTGGAGTCATTCTTTTGCTCTGGGAAGACCCCTTCTCATCAAGGCAGCCTTTGAAGACTACCAAAACCACCCTTGCTGAGAAATGTATCAGATCTGAAGCTTCTTGTTGCAACTTTCAGCTATGCAAAACTAAAGACTCTGACTTCTGAAGTGGAGCAACATTACCATTTGGAATAGACTCATTTGACCTCCCTCCCAAGCTTCAGCTCAGGCCAACCTCAGAAGATGATGAACTGCTTAACAGTCACAGCTGGTCCTCCTGTGACTACACAAGTGAAGAGAAAAAGTTGAAGATTTGCTGTGAGCTGAAGACAGGAGCTAGAGATGAGCAGGAACTAATTGAGTTATAGAGATGTCAGCAGGTGGGAAAAGAGTTAGTTAGCGAAGTTAGAATCTGAAGTTGTTAGTGGACATGTGTATGAAGCATATTCCTTCATAATCCGCTTTGTCTGTAAGTTGAGGCTTGCCTGAATTTCAGGATAATTCAGAAAGCGGGAGGGCAATAACTAGTATGACATGCAGAATATCTATAAGATGTATAGTTAGGATTCCAGCCCTTGCATTGAAGCTCTGACACAGTGTTAAACATCACTTTAACCCGAACGCTCAAACTGTTGGGACTGAGTCCATCTTGTATATCAAACACGTTCCATAAGTACGCTATGACCACTATGTTGCATTCTCGTGATGAATGCCTTCTTCTTCTCCTCGTTCATATCTGCTCTCTAAATCATTTTATTCTCATTTCTCGTCTCAATTTCTTTCTAATTTTCTTTTGCCTCAGTATACCAGCTAAAGCATCAAAACAACTTAATCTATTGATCCAATGAAATGCCTAAACCAAATGCAAAGGGTAACAAAGTCCAACCAGAGGAGGAACTAAAACCAAAATTCTGTGACACAATTTCCTACTTGCTAACTCATATGCAACAAAAACAACCAAATATCATAACTTTAACCCATGGAATCCCAATTTGAAGTTCACAATTATCATAAGGGTACAACAAACACCTGCATTCTCAGGGCAAGACCGGCTGGAGATTACATCCTAAAAACGCACAACTCATGGTGAAAAAGACATAGAAAACAAAACAAGAAAGCAAGAAAGAATTGCAGAAGAAACAAGGAAATTACCAAAACCAAACAAGCAAGACAACTCAAGCCAACGAATTCGAAATTCTATCAATTAAGAGAGAAACGGATATAAAAAGTCGAGTAAACAACTTTCTCAGCTAAGACTCGACTAATTTACACTTATTCATCAACATAAAGAATCCTACGCATCAACGAAAAGCTTACCCATAGCAGAATAGTAATTGTTATCCCCTGTCCCGGGTAGCAGCGACCTTATTGTCAAAATAAAGTTTTTTCGAAGTGCTAAAACATCTTAAATTTGGCCGACCCAAAAGATAGCCCCAGGCAGGCGAAAACCAGCGCCAAACATAGTAATCAGTAATTGGTTCCAGCAGCGCACGCAAAACTTCAAAAATTCACTCCTACCAAACCTTAACTCCACAACACCCTAAATGTTCATTACTACATGATTTTGGAGCTAAACAACTCATGGATCGAACCGGCAACCTCAGAATTCAAATAGATCCGAATTCACCACTTTAGCTACAAGAATTTCCTTCGATCGAAACGGATAAAGAGTTTGAATCCTTACGGGACACTACGAAACGAAGTTAAATCCAGCCCGTGGAGACACTCAAAGCACGCAAGAAACCCTCCTTTTTTCTTTGGGGTTAATTCCAAAAAAAAGAACCAACTTTAGGCCGAGGGACAAATCTGGCCTGAACTTTTTTTTGTCCAAGAAAAAAGCACCAACTTTAGGTCGATGGACAATTTTGGTCCGAACTTTTTTTTGTCCTGTAAAATAACACCAACTTTAGGTCAAGTGACAATTCTGGCCCCAACTTTTTTTGTCTCGTAAAAAAGAACAAACTTTCATCTAAATCCCAAATCTGGCCTTCATTGACTTAGAACCATTGATTATCCAACTTGACTATTCCACCTTAGCAATAAATCCACGTGGCTTGCTAATTGGATTTAATGCAATATTTATTGTCTTTTTCTCTGAGCCATAATTTGAAGAATAACGGTGAAACTGTTCGCCTCCTTCACTTCACCAGCAAGTCAAAAATATCTTCAGATTGAATCTCTCTAGCCAGACGTAATCTGAAGCTGACCACCGCCTATTGACAGACGTCATGGACGAGATTCGCCAAGCTCACCACCATAACCTTTTTTCTCAAACAATGGTAACTTTAGACAGAAAGTCAACGAGGGCCAGATTTGGGATCAGGGTGAAAGTTGGCTATTTTTTATGAGACAAAAAAAATTGGGGCAAGAATTGTCACTCGACCTAGAGTTGGTGCTTTTTTACAGGACAAAAAAAAAAGTTCAGGCCAGAATTGTCCCTCGACCTAAAGTTGATGCTTTTTTATGGAACAAAAAAAAGTTTGGGCCAGAATTATTCTTCAACCTAAAGTTGGTGCTTTTTTACGGGACAAAAAAAAGTTCATGCCAGAATTATCTCTCGACCTAAAGTTAGTGTTTTTTTTTTGGAATTAGGCCTTTTTCTTTGTTGGTTTATCCGAACTCTCTTCTCTTTCTCTCTGGGTGCCGTTGCTTTGCTTTCCTTTCTGTTCTTCAGGTTTCTCTGCAGGGAGTGGAAAGAGCCCGTTTTAAATGGGCTGGGCTGAGAGGGCTGATTTGGGCCTCTAGGCTTCCTTTTTTTCTAAAGCCCAATCCTTACAATTCCCATCGGCAGATATATCTTCTCTCATCCGCGAAATTTGACTGTCTGAACTTCAGTATAAAAATTTGACGTCGGGAAATTCTATGGTTATTGAGAAAGAAAAATTAAAATCGGCTGATTTTAAAAAGATAGTAATTAATGAATGTTAAAAAAATGACAATAAAATTGTTAATCTTACTATTGATTAAGGAAAACTACGAGATGATTATATAATCACGGAGTTAAGTACCCAAAGATAGGAAAAGAAAATCTACAATCGATTCACATTATTTATGATATTCCATGAAAATTTATAAAATGTCAGCAAGTTCAACCCTACGAGGCATCGACGTAAATTACAATATTTGAGGGATGATTATTAACTTGTCATTTACAATGACTTAATTACCGAGTGTTAATATATTCAAGTTACGATTACCGATTCTGTGGTCAAGCTACTGTTCAAAAAGGTAAGTTACTAGTCATAAGTGAAACCAAGTTACGACGATTAAAAATAATGACCTGTATAAATCACAATAGTCAGAAATTGATTAAGTTGACATTAGTTTTATGTTGTTGAGATTTCGAGTTCCCGAATCTTGCAGATCTTTGTACACCATAGTTTGTGTTTTCAACCCTGTATTGTTATTACCATGTTCAATAAACTGTATACAGATTGAGCCTAGATTATTGTGCTTATGTTGTAAATTTGATCCAGCCTCCAATATACTCTTTGTAATTGTGCCTTTTATTCAGAAACAAAACAATGGGACATATCTTATCTGCAACATGAATAGCACCAAATGACACATGTTGTTCGTTCTGAATGGACAACTGAGCAGCTCTTTGCTTTAAACGACTCCACCAATAACCCAACTGTGTCTCAGAGCTCAAAAATCACTGTGAGAACGGATCGAACCGCATGACACCTCCTGGCGGTTGATTGGGGACCGAATACAGCACGAACAAATTCACGACTGCAATAAAGATGAGCTTCTGCTCATGTTCAAATCCTGAACATGAACAGAATAAGAGCTCGGACTCTTGAAGAGCTGTGGATTTCTTTTGTAAACCTTAGATTGCTGACAGAATCGAGAATTTGCCAAAACATTCTCTTAAAGAAAGTGCAATCACAATATCTCAGTTCACAAGCCGATGCACGTACTGATATAGTTCATGAATATTCCAAAGTACTAGCAAGAAAACACAAACGCCTAGTTACTGCTGGGTACAATTGAGATGAAATTTCACAGCCCAAAATTGATCTTGGGAAAAATGGGAAAATGTGGAGCAATAGACCACTACAAAAAAACATGGATTTTGCCACGGATATTTGCGACGGGGAATTTTTCGTCGCTAATTTGCGACGAAATTTTTTTTCCGTCGCAAATTAGCGACGAAAATTATTCGTTGCTAATTTGCGACGGAAAATAAATCCGTCGCAAATTTGCGACGGATTCCAAAAATTGTATTGCATTTTCCAATGCGTCGCAAATTTGCGACGGATTCCAAAAATTGTATTGCATTTTCCAATCCGTCGCAAATTCGTTTAGCGACGAATTTTGCCAAATTTTTTCGTCGCAAAATTCGTCGCTAAACCTTGTTTTTTTGTAGTGTTCTAAAACTAAACCTAAGTTCTTCTAAATCTAATCACGATGATTACCATGTCTCAATCTCTCGTGATAAGGACGAGGACTACATAAGGAATATACTCCATCACAAGACAAACTAAATATTGCCTAATGAAATCAATCTAATGCAAACTAACAATTATTAATTGAAATTCAAACTAAATTGGATGATTGTCACAAGTTCAAATTCAAAAGAGATTGGACGATTTGCTACACGTCCAATTCTAAGAGAGGTTAGATATTACAAATTCAAATTAGATAAGAAGATCTATTATAAACTCAAGATATTAGATAATCTCTTAAAATGTTCTCGTCCCAAATAAGCTTTTTTAGATTCGATAGGTGCAAATCTTATCTTCTTTTTTTTCAAGACTTAGATATAGATAACACATATATCTATTTAGTTGAATATGGCGGTTTCCTCCGCACGTAGCTCTTATGTATGCGTAAATATATGGGTAAATAAATTATAGCAATTTTCAAATAGATCGGAATCGGGTGAATGTATGAAATGTAAAGTCAATGTATCTATATGGGGATATCTATAGGAGATCATAAAAAGAGATATTCTTATTTAGACCTAACCAATTTGATCTAACCAATTAGATGAATTACTTCTAAAGGGTTACATTCGAATGAAGAGTGAATAGAGGGCATGCCTTATATTAGAGAAATATTTAGAAGATTCCCTATATTTCTTTTAATTGACTGTAATTGATATTTTCCCTTTTAGATAGTCATCCTATAAAACCGATAAATAGGTTCGTGTACTCTTCATTTGACAATGATATATATATATATAGATATTGCTCTTAATTTTTTTTATCACATTCTTAACTTGGTATCAGAGCCCTATTGTTATTTGAGAAAGCGTCAATCGAGTCTGTTTGTAACAACGACATCCACATCAGTCATGTTTCTCCACAGTGTTCGTAATGCTAGTCACATCGGCCCATTTCGCAACAACCTCCCGTAGTTGTTTGACATTCCTCCGCTGCTCTAATAAAAAAAAAAAAACATCACCAAACTTGCCGCCCTTAGACGAATTAGATCATGACATTTACTAATTCGTCAAATATGAGTAATGTGTCATTGTATGTAAAAATGTAGAAGCATATCTACTCAAGGTTCCGACGGAATTAGCGACGGATTCGAAAAATTGGTTGGTATAAACATTTCCGTCGCTAATTCCGTTGCAAATTAGCGACGGATTTGAAAAAATGGGCGCCATGTGCCGCGAAGATCACTTCCGTCGCAAATTAGCGACGGAAAAATAAATCCGTCGCAAATTTGCGACGGATTTGGAAAATGCCCTTTATTTTTGGAATCCGTCGCAAATTTGCGACGGAAAAATAAGTCCGTCGCAAATTTGTGACGGAAAATAAGTCCGTCGCAAATTTGCGACGGAAAAATATGTCCGTCGCAAATTAGCGACGGAAAATAAATCCGTCCCAAATTTGCGACGGATTTGGAAAATGCCCTTTATTTTTGAAATCCATCGCAAAATCCGTCGCAAATTTGCGATGGAAAAATAAGACCGTCGCAAATTTGCGACCGAAAATACGTCCTCTGCTCCGACCTTCTCAGCTCCTTCTCCATCTTCTTCCTCTTCCTCTTCTTCTCTCTCTCTCTCTCTTTCTTGATCTATGCAGCCTGGCGATCTCTCCTCAGACCTAACGAGGAATCGCCGCGATCTATCCCCTTCTCTGCTGCTCCAGCTCAGGTAA